CTTGGGCGGAAGAGCTAGCAGCCCAAAGCACGTCTGGTCTGTCCCTGGCGATACGATGGGCTACCTTTATCTTAGAGGCGTCACCGTGATTTTAAGGAAGATGTACAGCATCTCAGCACAGACCAGAGCATCGCCTTCACCTTCTCCTCTTCCCCCACCGCCTCAGGACCGCGGCGTCTCGGTTCGCCCTTTCATGTAGTGATTTGGGAAGTGACAAGAAGGATCCTCCCAGTCAGGACGGTTACAAGAAAGGGTGAGTCAACGAAGGGAAAGCCGCAGACTGTGGTCAGGGCATCGGTGCGGTTGCAGCATCGCTTCGGTCCCAGCACACCCAGTTTCCGCGGCAGGAAGCTCCCCCTCCCTCTCTCCCTCCAGTTTCCAAACAAGTTTGCTGCTCATTGGGAAATAGGCAATTCCTGCTTGACCAAAAAAAAATTGCTTATTCACACCCGAGTGCAAGGATGAACACGCAGCTGATGAGGTTTGCTGGGCTCCAACTGAAGCTACATACGGGTCTGTCGCGCCGCCTCCTGCAAAAACAAGCTCTCTTGATTACCAAAATTGTTACTGGCTGAGGTCAGAGAACCAAACTCAGAGGTTTCCATATGAAAACGTTTCAGTTATCTCCACCTCTTTTTATTGCTATGCAAAGGCAGTTTCGTGTTGTCCCCCACACGCACTGCTTGAAGAAGTGAAGGTGTTAAATTCAATGACACAAACGTAACAAAATGGAATCATTTCAAGAAAACTGCTATTTCTGGATCTATTTAAATGCTGCTTTAAAAATGAAAGAATTCATCAGTCATAATTCTGATTCAGATTGACAAGTGAAAAAAACAGCTTGAGAGACCTAAACAGTTAATTCTGGCCAAAGGAAACAGATCAGTCCTGTTCAAAAATGAATTCGTTATGTCCCCTAAAGTTTCCTTTTTTCTTTCTTTCGTGATTCTGGGAGCAATCCCTACGGGCTATTTCAGAGCATTCCTTAGAGCTGTTTACTGGAAGCTGAATCAACCTAAATAAATAGCTGTCTGCCTTCCGCCAGCCTTAGCCGTCCAAGATTATTTTCAGCCAGCAACAGATAGTCTGCTCTTACCAACCATGACATAAATGCTAGGAAAAAAAAAGCTAAAAAGTTGTGGCCATGGCACCTGGTCAAATGGTTCGGACAAATATTTCACTGGAAGGAGCATGTAAGAAGGCATTCGGGTCACATCCTCACTCGTCTTGCCTCGCAAACGAGCACGCTAATTTGGCATATCCAGGACAAATACCTACTTCGCTCTATTTTTAAATAGAGCTGCTCAGACAGATTTTCACTGCGCCTCATGTTTTAGACAAAAATAAAAAGTGAAAACGTTAGCACACCCAAACACATCATCAAGCTCAAGTCTCCAGCGCCCGAGCAGGGCAAGCCGAGCGCCAGGACACATCACACCAGCATGCACTGCCCTTCCTCCCCACAGCCGTCATCCCAGCCAAACAAGCGGCCAGGGCCAGAGAGGCAGCTGGGTTTTCCCCAAGCAGGTCCTCTTAACCCTCAAAAGCAGTAATATTCTCCCTCCTCACCTGGACTCTGCCTGCAGGTGGTGGCACCATCGATACGAGCACACCGAAGCCGGTTGCCAGCCCAAGCCTTAGACCCACCAAACACTACCTGGAAGACGTGCCGTACGTTGGAGCCTCCACGGACACATCCGAGTCGCTGGCCGCACAGAAATCCCCCAACACATTTTTCTTCTCTGCCTGCCAATCCCCCCCTCCAAAAAAAGTCTGTTGGGATCAGTGTGCCCCCCCCCGCCCCAATCCAAGGCCACGTCTGCAAATGGGAATAGCAGCGAGATTTCTTTCCTTCAAAGTGCAAACCAGGCAGAAACCAAAGCAGAAAAGCCCCGCTGGAACAATCCTGCTGGTGCACACAGGGATGCGGAGAGCTGTTTAGATGTCAGGAGAGCGCTTACACAACACACTTCAATAAAACACCAGCTTTTGTGGAGAGCAGTAGCAGCTTTTTTAGGGGGGGGGGGATAAAAAAAAAAACAACCCACCAAATTTCGTCAGTCCTCAAAAGCCAAGACAGTTAAGTAATACGGTGTTTTGCTGCTGGTTACTGGAGAGAAAGAAACCATGCTTTTTTTAAGCACGTATATGCAATGCATCTACCTCTTCGAAATGACGTCACCGAGCAGCACAAAAAGCTGAAATCTATACGAGGAAAAACAAAAAGGT